ATAAATCTATATTTTTCTTACACTAACGCATCGTTTCGCTTCAGAAGGCCTTTATTAACACTCCAGAGCCGTGTGGAGTAGTTTTATGATGGATGGATGCAGTTTTTTAGGCTTCAAAAACAGGGGCACCATTCACTGCCATTATACAGCTTGGAAGAGCCAGGACAATTTTAAATATAACTGCGATTGTGTTCGTCTGAAAGAGGATTGTCAGATACTCCTAGGATGCCCTGAGGGTGAGTAAATCATAGGCTAATTTTCATTTTTGTGTGAACTATCCCTTTTAAGAGTCACATTTAGCAGAATTTTGCCATAATACAGGCAATCAAGTTGAGATATGATATATATAGTATATCACCCTGCTCAGGTATACTGACTGTATACGGATAAAGGACATACTTCCAACTTTATATAAAGATGAAGATATAAAGGCAACAATGTAATCACATTTTGTGACAAAATAAACAGCTTGTGAGATTTCCTATAAATGATATATCAATTGAGTGTACTGTATGTATGCGGATAAAGTTGGATATATTATCCAACTTTATAGATAGACATATACTACAGTTTACATTTTGAGAAGATATAAACAATCACGCAGCTCAGATTTTGTTAGAGATGTGGGAATGCAACTACTCTTATTATTGGTGCAGTGTATATGATAAACTACATATAAATTACCAGTACATTTTCCTTCCGTTTCAATTGTGATGGATGAACCAGATTATCAGCCAAAAAATGCATACTTGATGAGGTAATTTGACACTGAAATTGTTTTATCATGGAATAACACCTTCTGTTTCACATACTGTTTTTAAAAATAGTCGACGGTACACAGTGTAAACTGCCCAGTAAGCTAGTATCCTGAACATTACCAAAACCACTGGACTTTCCCTGGTTTCCCAGCTCTGGCAGAGGTTCAAGAATGTGTAAAAACGCTGGCAGGGAACTAGTAACACAGTACTAATGACTCGAAATGGTAGAGTGGGGGCATCAGCACTCTGTACAGGAATCTAACCTTAAAATACACCGTATTTCACATCTGTTATCTTCTTCAGAGTGACCCAGTTCTTCCATCACAACATCTTAAGTGTCTGTAAACGGTAACACAGTTTGCTCACGGGTCAAAAAAATGTGATACTTCAGGGACTGGCCAGTGCCATGCTGACCTTTAGACCACCTTGATGTGAGGGTAGTAAAGGCCTAAACTGAACTATGGCATTCACTATGTGAAGAGACAGAGTCTTTCTGAACACTCTGCCAAACTACAGTTATTAATAAACTGCCTGTTGTTGGTGTGTGAACAGCAATATTATCCTGATCAAAAGGAGAGGGAAATATGAAGAATCTGGGTTATATTCCATTAAGTGGCAATCCTCATTACACATTTGAAATTGAGCAAAAAGAAAACGACTCCTTGATGCACCTGTTGAACAAAATGGGGCAGTGACATGTTTAAACAATGAATGTATAACAACCC